ACACCTTTAGAAACTTTTACTATCACACCGGGTAGGAGATATAGATTTAGAATGATCAACGCCCTAGCATCTGTCTGTCCAGCACAAATTACCATCCAAGGACATCCGCTCGTGCTAATCGCTACAGACGGAGAACCTATACAGCCGGTGGTCGTCAACACAATCATTTCATTCTCGGGTAATGTTTGAACCGATAAATTACGTTTTTCTTTTTTTTTATGTATACAATATTGACTGTTTCATCACTATACATTTATCTCACTGTTGCCTATAGGAGAGAGATACGACTTCATTATTAACGCGGAACAGCCCGTTGGTGCCTATTGGATTCAGGTCAGAGGTCTTGGAGAATGTGGAAATAAACGCGTGCAACAATTGGCCATACTCAGATACGCAAGAGGACCATATCAACCGAAATCAAAGGCTCCTACTTATGATGTCGGTTTGCCTCAGGGTGTTGTAAGTGAATATTCATCATTCTTCACTATGTATACGGAATGATTTTAATTTATCACGATGTATTTAACAATAGGTAATGAACCCGTTGGATGCTGTTTGTGATCGCCCCAGAACTGATGCCATTTGTGTGAACCAACTGAAAAACGCCAAAGCTGTAGACAAAGGACTTTTACAAGAAAGACCCGATGTAAAGATATTCTTGCCATTTAAATTCTTGTTCTACAGGCCTGACGAACTTTTCCAACCGCATCAATACAATAAATACTTGGGTACTAATAAACGTTATATTTATTATATTATAATAATAATCAAAATGTTAATAATTAATCAAGACACAACTTTATATAATTTTTATTGAATCAAAATGTCTATGTTTATTTATCAATAATTTATGTTAATAACACTAAAAATATTTATATATTTTTTTTTTAAACTTTCAGTGGCTCCCGGCGGTGGAGACCATGTAATCAGTTTAGTGGACGAAATTTCTTATACCTCTCCGGGATCTCCCATGATTTCTCAGATCGATGATATACCTCCAGAATTATTCTGTAACGGAGATAACAAGCCAGCAAATTGTGGCAGAAATTGCATGTGTTCGCATAAAGTCGATATTCCCAGGCACGCTGTTGTGGAAGTCGTGTTGGTCGACGAAGGTAATTCATGCATTAAAAAAAAAAAAAACCTCGCAATATTATAATAATAATATAAAAAACATGTGAAATCTGTATTGCTGTTATAATTGTTTTTATTCCTTAGTCCAACAACCGAATTTGAGTCATCCGTTCCATTTGCACGGTTACTCGTTCAACGTTATCGGTATGGGAAGATCGCCGGACAAGAACGTCAAGAAAATCAACTTGAAACACGCTCTCGATTTGGACAGAAGAGGACTCTTGGACAGGCATTTCAATTTGCCACCGCTCAAAGACACGATAGCTGTGCCCAACAACGGTTACGTCGTATTCCGGTTCAGAGCCGACAACCCAGGTAAATGTCATCGATCGGAATAAATGAATATACGCACATTTTTTCTGCACGTCGATTGTTATTATGGTCGTCATTATTAATATTATAACGCTCACCTACAACTCACGCTTTTATATTAAACAGTATTAATTCACCGTGTACAAACGTTATTCTCTTTCGCAGGCTACTGGCTGTTCCATTGTCACTTCTTGTTCCATATCGTGATCGGTATGAATTTGGTGCTTCACGTCGGGACACACGCCGACTTACCACCGGTTCCCGAAAACTTCCCGCGTTGTGGCGACTTTTTACCTCCAGTCAGTCTACACTGACCACGTTCATAACACGTCAGTTCAAAACTAAGTGCTCATATAAGTAACGCAATGCGGTAATCACAGTTAGAAGCGACAAAAGAAAAACACGCATGAATGTTTTTTTTTTATTTATTTTATTTTAAACATATATATAATATATATATATATAACATATGTGTGTATATATTATATATATATTACATTTTTGTACCTTAGAAATAATGTGTTATGCCATAACGATCATATATTATTTAAATGTGTTATTATTAGTCACTTGTTCAATTGTTTTTTTTTTTCATTTTAGTCTAAGTCATTTCACGATATTAATTATATTATGTATATATATATATATATATTTATAATATTTTATCGAGCACAAAATTATCATTTATTTCTATCTTGCCTCTATTATACGTTTAAAGTTTGAAACTCATCAATTGCTTGCCAATATTATGTATACCGTTTACTTTAAATCAACATAATACAATATATTTAATAATACTTAATTCTTTTCTTCTAATTCATCTTGTAAATATTTATCTATATAATAATTAGTAGATTCTAGTTAATTAATGTTTTATGAATATTATCAATGTATAAATTAGAATAAACGTTATGTTTTAATGTAAAAATATGTTTTGTACTATATTCTTTTTGTGCTATATAATAACAAAATCATTATTTTCTTTCACTAATTTTTACAATTAAAAATATGTCAGCTAAATTTATATCTATTTTTTTTTTTTACAAATATTAGTAGTCAATCAATTTAATATCAGAAAAAAAAATACTTGGTCGCATTTTTTTAATACCTAACTGAATAAAATCAAAACCATCTTTTTTGTAATTGAATTTATACACACCGATTTCAAAACAAATTAATAAATCTATGTTATTTCAATAGTTTTATATAAATATATATGAAACCCATAATAATATGATGATTGATTTATTGCATAATAGTCCATTACACATTACATCATTTATTGATTTAAAAACAATAATCGAACAATATTGCTATCTATTAAAAATATGGAAACTAATAGGTACTAATATTGATGATTAAATAAACATGCGTATTCAATTAATAATTCTAAATGAACCAATCGAAAACCTCATTTCTTAAGTATAAAACAATTCAGTATATCAAAATTACTGTTAGTAGATAAATCGATTATATTCGGCAGATCGTATATAGTGCACTTTCGTGCGTGTCTGATGCGTTTAAAAAAGTGTATTACGGTATAATTATTAAATTATAATAGTATGTTTTAATGTCTATAGTCATCGGTATCGCGGTCGCGTCGTAATAAGATATGTGGTAACGAAAGAAGCGTGCCCGAAAGTGGTTTGAAGTTGGTAGAGTATTCACGCTATTCATAACTTTACGATGAAATTTGGTATGATTAATGATTAAAAACACTGCTACATAAACTAGAATTAAACTGCTAATTAAATTTATCGAATGAATTGTCGCTGATTTATCAGTTATAATTTTTTTTATGAATAAACATTTAAAATAAAGTGATTTTATCTTAAATCTTTTGTTGCCTAGTAAATCAATACTAAATTACAAAAAAAAAAAATCACGTAACGATACCTACAATGGGTTTGATAATTATTTGTTAAGACATTCATCAACAGTATTTTTCTTTCTTAGGCTTAGGTTACATAATTAGCTTACCTCAACATTACTGTCAATTCCACATAAAATAAAATAAAAACATTTTTTTTTTTTCGGTAACTTTCACAATTACGATTTTTTGGCGTAGTAGATAGACTACTAAAAATACATCTGCGTCATTATTGCAATGTAAGTCCTTTTTGATATAATCTTCAGGGCTGTTGAAAGTGGACAGTTTCTAAGGAGCTTATAAATAGTGTATTTAATATTCTTTATCGATGTAGAAAAACTGTGTGAGTGTGTGTGTAGTAACTAATCATTAGTTTATGACCATAAAGCAGGATTCTCACTTAATACCACGTGCAGAGTTTAATTTATCCAACGTGTACCTTGGTAACGTTTTATTAACACGTTTCTACTAACTAATGGCATAATTTGGTTATATTTGTGTTCCTTTTAGTCACTAAAAGATCCGATTGATATTGTGGTTTGAATGTTAATAATTTATTAAGTACTTCTTTGAATTTCACCAATTGTAATAGTTTTATAAACGGCCAAAATAACAAGACCATTATTAATCGATTCACGAAAAATAAAAACAAACAATTCTACAATAAATATAATCCTTTAACCTAACACTTATTATACGTACAAATTAACATACTGAAACTTGATATAACATGTTATAGATTAATTATTGTACTTGTGAAATAAATGGCAGACAATATAAAATTGTAACTCAATAAAAATATCAATATAATATCAAAGTTTCCGATAGCTATATGTTCTTGACGATAAAGCAGTGACGAATTATGCTGACTTAAGTACTTAAGTATCTCCAAAAAAATGACCAAAATGTTAATATATGGAACATTTCATAGATTTAAGTTAATTTAAACGAAACGAAATAAATAAAAATTTTCATAATTAAAAATAAGAATTATTAAAATTATTCCTAGTTATAAAAAATTAATTGTTTATTTCGATGGTATCAAATTTAAGTTATTTAATTGATATTTATTTTTTTTATTTCAATAAATTTAATAAGCATAGGTATATTTTATATATTTTATAACACTTTGTTGTTGGGAAAAACATTTTTAGTTTTCTAATTTCTATAAAAAATTAATCATAATTATAAAAACCTTTTTTTTAAGAATTTTTCAGTAATTACTCACCAAACTTTTTTAATTTTCTAAGTATAATAAATTATTATATTATGATCAAACATTTCAATCAAATAATATAAAATAAAAAAAATACAATTTCAGTGTTAGTGTTTCATCAAAATGTTCTTCAACATAAATTAAAAAAATATATTTTAATTCGTTAACTAATTTACTATAAAATTTGATACAAATTCGAAAAAAAATTTTAATAATAATAATACTTTGTATCCCATGACTATATTACATAAATTAAATTGAGCAAACGATACTTAGCGATATTTTCACATAAGATATTTACCTAACTCGTAAGTATAGAAATACTATGAGTACAAAATAATTATACTAGATATATCGTAATATTACAAGTTTAATTGAATTATTAAAATATTCTTATTAATTAAGATATTTCATCATAATAAAAAACATTACTAATTAATTTAAAAAAAAAAAAAATCAGAAATCTTTATTTTTATTATAAGAATAATGTTCATTCTCGTTAAAGTCCAACGAATCCCAAAAGCTAGTTCTTCCCATGTTCTGGACTTCGTCCATAGTAATATTGGTAGGGGAAGATATTTTTAAAAACGATACAGCTGAATTATTAGGATCTTTGCTCACAGGAGTCCAATTTATAGAGCTAATTCCAGTTGACGGTATTCTATTTTAAAAATAATTGTTCCTTTATAAATTTACTATAAAAATATTTTATAAAACATTACCCTTTAGAAGCAAATGATGTCCAAATATTAATCACAATTGGTATTAATGATTTATCCAATTCTGAGTCTTCGACGTTTGAGTATACGTTTCGTAATGCGTAGCCCGTATCATCTGCATGACTAGCTCCTAAAAATATAAAAAAGTAAACACATTGTATGGTCTATATATTATCATGACATTATGATTAAAAATATTTTTGTCACCATAATTTTCATTTGATTTTGCAAAATGTTCCGAAAGACTATGGCTACCCCGGTATCCGAATTGGTATAAATAAACCGGAGATTTATAAAGTTGCGCATGCATTTTAACAGCTTTTATAATATCGACTACAAACAGGCGATCACTAATCATCTGAAAATGTTGTCCAAATATGAACTATCTGATAAATAATAATATTAATTCAGTACCTGAATAAATTGTTCTGTATTTCCTTTAACCAATTTTTTACTGCCTAAATATTCTTTTCTTATAAGCTCTGACACGTTGTCAATTTTATCTTGAGATATTGTGTAATTGTAATCTAATATGTGTGGCAAGACTTGGTTCCAATTTTCGTCAATATACTTCAACAACTTTGGGTTATTGATGAATTCTAAATACATAATATTATTTACACATTACAATTATAGCGTACCTAACAACTAATATTAGTAAAATCAAATACCAGATCCCGGGTAAAGACCTTCGTGAGTGGCAACACTCGACAGCCACGGTACATCTGTCGCTAAACCTTTAGCGAAAATGTGATAGGGCAATTCGCTTATAAAAGCATTTTCACTGGGTAACTCTACAACCGGTCCGAAAGGGGAATATGGGTTGTACAAAAATGGCTGTGACAATGATCGCATTAAAGTAAAATAAATACAAATTTTATTAACGATCAACAAACAATAGCAATTGAATTTTTTACTTACAAAAAATATTTTAACTGCTTCTACGATGTGTAAAGCAGGTCTGGTAATCAAACATTCGACCAGTTCTTTTGACGGATGAGATGGACAACCTAAGTAAGCGCCTATAGCTGCTGATTTAGCAGGTACATTTTCAGCTATTGTCCAAGGGCATAACGCCGTTCCACTCTGCGAGAATACTTTTTGAAATAGTCCTAAATATTATGTATTATACGACATAAATTATTATACTATATACTCGGGTTGAAAACAATAAAAAAGAACATTGATAATTATGTAACCTCTAGACAATGGTGACAACATATGAAAGTGAACACTGGCACCTCCAGCCGACATTCCACTGATTGTAATATTTTCCGGATCGCCTCCAAAATACTTTATATTTCTTTTAACCCATTTTAAAGCTTGTACTTGATCTTTTAACCCGTTATTTCCAGACACTACAGAATCTCCGGTACTAAAAAAACCTATAAAATTGATATGCCTTATTTATTTTGTGTAGGCATAACAAACAAGTAAATTTAAATTTCATTTGAACCTTATTACCATAATTAATGCTAATGAGATATTGTGCATAAATAAAATAAGTAGCAGAAAATATTAAAATACTATAAACTTCATCGTTATTTATAATATATTATATAAAAGCAATAATTAATATAACCTTGAATTTAATAAATTGAAGGTTAGGTATATTACCGAGGTTGTATATAAAGTATGTATATAAAAAAAAATTAACTGGAATCATTATACAAATAAGACATATTTTGTATAAAATTCAAAATAATTAAATGGTAATATTTATCTATGGTTATTAATTATTATGTAAATTATTAATCGTTTAATCCAATAAAAAATAATAAATGGTGTTTGTTTATTTTAAATGTGAATGTCATATATTATTTATATTATTTAGGTATTAATTGTATAATGTAAGCCTAGGTACTAGTTCTATTTAATTTATTTTACAATAATAATAAGCACTATTGAGCAATAATAAATTACCTCCAATTAAGTTATGGAACCTAGTTACATTTGTAACTTATTGTAATTTATTACGGAATTTTCAAGTAACTAAAATTTTTGCTATAACTTTTAATAAAAAATACATGTAACTATTTAGCTATCTATTTTAAACTACATTAGTTTAGGTAATAATATAAAATCGTATCATGATAAATATTTAAAATATTACCATAAAATAATTATTAAACCAATAAATATAAACAATACAAATAAATATACTCGACACTCGGCAGCATTATACTATTGTCATAAAAACACGTTCCCGATATTCCAAAAATAAGCATCAAATAAAATATATCTTAAAGGGAACACCACAACAGTGTTTAATCCGTGAGTTGAGGAGTAAATAAAAAATAGTTTTATTTTACAACAAAACGTTATAATAAATAATCGGATGATTGCTATATTGTATTTTATATATACATATTATAACTCAAGCGACTGTTGACCTTTTTCTTTTTTGCTCATCAAAAAAATCTCCTAGACTCTAGACCTAGATTTCGATTACCAGAGACTTTAAATTTCAAATATGTAACTCACTTAATTGAAAAGGTTGACGACCCCTGGACTATACTGTGTCCTATATATGAACATATCTATTTTTTAAATCGAATAAAATCATTAGGTATACTAGAATAGTCTTACAGTTTCTTTGTAGGTGATAAATATTTAAACAGTTCCTAGTTAAAAATTCTGAAATTCTGTAGTAGGTAAATTCTATATAAAAAAAAATGTCATTAAATGTATATATATATATTTGAGCCAGTTTTTTACTATTAATATCGGTCCGAAAATCTAAGCCCATCCAGATTCTAGTAAAACTCTGTCTGTAAGTGTCTCTAAGCATCTAGGTCCTAGGACCCAACTCATATGAGTATCCACTGACAATAACATATAATATAATGTATATTTATTATCAGTGTAAGTACCTAATACATAATCCATAATTTTATACATTGCATGTGACTATATTAATACATATCTGCTATCACTCTTAATGGCTCTTGCTACCAAATGTATCTTTATTCTTTTAGAACAGGGGTCGGCAACCTACGGCCCGTATAGTGATTTTATGTAGCCTACAGTTACAATTTATAATTGATATAAAAATTTGGAATATCACATTATGTTATATGTGTAACCTAACTTTATTAATATATACCAAATAAAATTAATATAGGTACCTAACAGTAATGAAATTTAAATAAATTAAATTAAACTTTGTTTAAAATTTAAACTGTAAAATGTAAATAAAATAAGGTGTATGGCCAGTAAATTTTTTTTTTATTATTTTTTGCCCTTGACATCAAAAAGGTTGTTGACCCCTGTTTAAAAAAATAACGTGAACATTCTCTACTCAAAACATATTTCAGGAATAATTTTTTAAAAACAAATTTAAAATTATTTGAACTATCTCTCTACATTATTATTTGTATCTCGAGTGTTGAAACATAATGCAAAATGCTACCTACATATTACATTTTTATAACACTATCCTTGTTATTGTTTTTAAACCTAAACCTAATTCTTTATAATTAACTGTTTAAACCAATAAGGCTAATCCAAAACTAAACTCTCCAAAGTTTATTTCAATTTTTCTGAGAACTATAACTTTTACCTTATTAGTTATTGATATTATATATTTTTATTAAAATATTTATTTTAACATTTTTAAGAACCAAAGATAAAGACGAATTTATCAATTTGCCAATTATGAAGGTCTCAGAGGTTTTTATTGTATTTAATGAATTCAATACCAACGCAAAAAAAAAAAAATAAAAAAAAAAATACCTACGCAATAACAATTTATTTAGTATAGGTAGTTATCTAAAATATAATTAATAGTTTAATGTTGTAGTAATAAATATGTTTTATCTTATTCATGATTTAAGTTGTTATTTATTTGTACGTACAGAATCATACTTATTCAATTTACTTATTAATTTACCTATTTACTTCTCTAAATTAACACACTACATACCAATAGATAAATAAATTATTATATTATTACTGTTTTCATCCGTTTTAACGGATCATTCTATCATACATTTTGCTTCATTTAATTGTATATTTTTAAAAAGGTCATTCATCCTCATCATATAATAGTACCTACTGCAGATATTTACTTATTGAATTATTTGAATTTTCTTTCATTAATGAACTTTTATTGATGCTTAACGACAAAATATACCTAAATATTACTTTATTTTACATTCCTAGTTTAAAAATCTAATATTATTCTTGTATAAACTAATATCAATTTTATTTTCTTAAGATATCTTATTAGATCAATCAATATATAATTATATTCATATAGCAAATAATCCTACGACTCTAAATTTAATATTAGTAACAGAAACGCGGCCTTAATAACTGTATTTTATACCAAATAGAAATAATTAACTATTTTATTATAATATTTTTTAGATTTTAGGCAAAACGACAAATAAATTTAAGTGATGTGTATTTATTTTTTTTTTTTTTTTGGGGGGGGGGGAGTGTGTCTGAATAAACTTCTAAAAGTAGAAAAAATATTTCAGTATTCTACTCAAATGTTTTTTTTCTGATAAAAATTGAATGTAGTTAGTGCATTGTAGGGGGATGGTTAAAAGAAAAAAACTTCTTGTACTTTTCTTGATTAAAAAAAAAAAAACACCAAAAAAAGTTGGGAAATAGATAGATACGTATCAGATTTAATAGGTCACTGATTAAAATTTTAATGCAATGATATTATATACGAAAAGAGATTCTAAGTGAAAATGTTCTAGAAATGGTCAGCCTATAACACTAAGTGCATTTCATTATGTTCTGAATTTTCAATTTTATTATTTCTATCAAGTCTATTAATTTTACCATTAATTTTACTATTAATATTATAGTAGGTTATTTATTTAATTTTTGCCAAAAATATTACATATTTTATTATAATATTAATATTAAACTTTAGATCAATTCCACCTTACCATGAAGCAGTATGAATAAATTCATGACACAAAAATACGATATCTAAATATTAATCTACATATTTTCGAAATGTTATTCTATAAAATAAAATTCACAAATTCACAATAATTTATGTAAAAGTTTTAAGTCCTCATGAATATTTATTTTTTTTTTAATTATAACGAAATAAAAAATATTGTTATTTAACGTTCATATAATATTATGTAATTTCGTCCAAATATCTGTAAGAAATTATTATGGTTATATACATTTTTTTTAGATTTTTAGTTCTATGAAGCTGCAATAATATACTTATGAAAAATATTGTATTCAATTTTTAAACTTTAGATATACAAATTATAAATTTTATACAACTTTTATTATAGAATGCTTGTAATTTGTAAATTATTTTATTTTTAATGAATTGTATAAGAATTTGTATTTCAAATTCAAATGGATATAAAAAAAATTGAACATAATTATTTTCAATGTTTTATTTATATATTAGAACAACTTATGACGAATCTTGTAATAAATTTTCAAGAATTTTGAGTCAAACGATTAACTTTTATTTACAATTTATAGAAAAAAAAAAGTTAAAAAAATTATAAACAATTCGAAAATATCTCATTATGAATAGAAAATGATAACATTATTACATTTATTACTTTATGAAAATGTATAGTTTCTACGAATATTCGTTTTTAGATTATGACAAAATAAGGAAATACATCTATCAAAAATGAGTTTAGCTTAAAAATTCCCAGTTATTCTAAAAAATTTTCCCAGATCATTATGAAAAGTGCTGAGAATTTTTTCTCTTAACCTCTAAGCATACCAATTATATAAAATTTGCTAACAATCGTTAAAAATCAAGCATTTTTGATGCCCCAAAATGTGATGACAGACAAAAAAATCATTATAAAATTAATATATCCATCGCTCCACTCAATATCTAAAATTAGACAAAACAGGAATTTTATGCATAACTAATTGTTAATGTTATCTGATAATTTAAAAACAAAAAACAAAATGCTTGAATTTTCTACGGAATTTTTAAATATTTATTTCATCATTAAATTATTTATCTTTATTATTATTTATTTATTATATTCTTATAAGATTTACCCTAACATTAATTAATCATAACTCAGTAAATTTTTATTTTTGAGCAAGGATTAAATATTTAAAATTAATTTAAAATTTTTTATTTCTTCTATTATTTGTACTTTTTTTAGTTTAAATTTTAAATATGCGTGTATGATTGGGGAAGTCTAGTAGATTTTCAGTGTTGCTCGAGCTAGGTAATTCCGAAAATCTTGAAGAAATTTTGAAAATGGTTGTGGTAATATTCATAATTAAACTATTATCTATATGCTAATTAAACCTTTTAAATTGTAAGCCTATTCATTTTTTTTTAATTTCCAAAAAAATTAACTACATAAACATAATAATTACTACACAACAGATTTATACATAGTATAAGAAAAAAAGACATTTTATGCAAATAATGTGTTTAAAATAATTTTTGTGTTACATAATTAAATAAGTTTTACTTAAAACTATTTTCTTTAACGAATGTATTTATTAACTTACCTATACAACTACTATTATACTTATTTAAAACTAAAGAAATAGATAACATATTTGTTTAATTTTAAACTGTATCACATTTAAACAAATTTAATTAAATTAAGTTGTACGCATGTACAGTATTATCTGTAAGGGTTTTCGATTATTAGTAAACTTTAAATCCGTATCTATGCCATGAACATTTTTTATAAGTAATTTCAGTTAATTATGGTGTACGTGTACTCAAATCAGCATTATACATTTTTTTTAAATTCTGAATAGTATTATATTTTAATCCTCGAATGATTTTTAAGATCGTATTCAAAAGCTCGAATTAGTATTTATTGTCAACAACCATATTTAATTTTATATAGTCAAGGTTTTCAAATACCCTCTGTCTTCCGGAAAAAAAGTTGGTTTTAGTTTTATTAACAGTTAAAATAGCATAAATCAAATAATTTCTAAATAAATAATTTAGACCGAATTAATACAAAAAGAAGTATTATTTTGAATAAACAAGATAACCTTTTCTTTTTGTATAATATTTTATATTTTTTAAATAGTAGATTTAAACAAAAAGAACCAAATATGCGTATTTAAAATGTGTAAAATACTCAGCACAATATTACAAATTATATTAAGTATTAACTATATTCATCTCTCAGTGGAAATAATATTATATAATATAAACGCCTCGACAACAGCATAAAAATTATTTAAGATAAAATTACTATTCTTAAACAACTTACTATAATTAAATATTTTATCATAAGCATAATCTAAAATTACATAATATTTTAAATGTATAAATACCTAACTAATATGAATAATAAGTATCTATAAATACAAAATTAATAAATCACGTAACGTGAAAAAAAATAGTATATAATATAGATATGGATTAAACAAATTTTTTAATATTTAAAAATTAAAAATAATTTACAGTATTAAAAATTGTATTCGACTGTAAAAAAAACATTAGTAGGTGCATATAATAAAAATTGTATTAAACAACAATTGAATAAGAGAAATAAAAAAAAAATAATAAATTAAATAAATTTATAAATTATATTATGTCGTAATTATTAGTGGGTAAACAAAATGTAATGTTTATAAATCCAACATACTCAGCGACTCCCTATAATATTAAAAATTTTTACTAGCCAAGTAATATATCCAAAACCAAATAAGTTTCCTTTTAAATTAACAGTGAAACCATTATTATAATATGATGATATGAATACTAAGCTAACAAAAAAAGTAAATTTGCAGATATCCATAACTAAGATGTTATTACTTAATACGACTCTCATCAAATTTACATCCACTCAAGATTTTAAAGCAGTAATATAAAAACATTTACTCAATCAGTGACAACAACAATATTCAACCTTAAAAGCACATTTAACACAACGATATTAAAATCTCAGTATACCCTTGGCCTAGTTTTGACTTACCTATAAGAAGTTCAGGATGGATAGTCTCAACAGACACATTGATTCAGACACACAGACACCTAATAAAATATATGCATCAATGCCACAATTAGAATGAAGTCCTCCCCATTAAGAGGACATTCTGAAAAATCCTTTTAACTCATTTAAGTATTTTTTAAATATTTAAGTGCATTTTCCTAATTAATAAAAAGTTTAAAAGTAAGAATATTATCTAATAAACCTCTTAAGTTAATTTTTATATTTTAATTTCAAACCGAGTTATAAACATTCTAAAATTCTGAATCGTTTGTACATTTTAAAAATCAACGCATACAGGTGTAGCGTCTTCTCAGTTATATTTTCATGAATCGAATAAAAAATACGAAAACATGAAACTAAAAAAATCCTAAAAAACCCCGGCAGTCTGTTAGTTTTGGTACCTGACGAATAAGATGTATGAAACATTTTTAATTTATTAAAACTTTCCCAAATTACAACTTTATTTGATTCAACATCAAACCTTTGTACATAATATTTTTCTAATTTTCTTCCTCTTTTTTAAAATAAATACAGTTAGTTACAAGTCAATAGCCCTTTAATCTGTGAACTGAAATGGATAATAATAATAATTAAAATATATTTAATTATATAATAACATACAACGCAGATAACAATATTAGCTTTGTATTAATTATATATACCATGGTTCATATACACATGCATATAATGTATGACTAATTTAGTTATGTAGAATCTTAATACAGACTGTATTGTATTTTAATGCTGTAATAAAGATTACAAAGAAAATACTCGTTTTGTTTGACTATAATTTTTTTTTTTTTTTTTTAAGTGATACTTACTAAAATTATGTATCGAATGAAAAAAATTGATTCCATTTCCATAATAATGATGGACTAGTGTTAGGAAACAAACTATTGAGATCGATTAATAGATATTTTAAGTTGGTAACGATTTTACGAGTGGTTTGATTAGGAAAAACGTTACTTGCTCGTTTACCACATCTTGACATTATCACATTAATGAGTATACGATATAGGTACACTATTATTCTCGCATTCTAATGTATCGCAACTAAAATCCCCTCTTTGCTCCGCACAGGCCGAGTAAAACAAAAATATGCATTATGATAATTGATAAAATTAACATAAAAAAATAAAAATAAATAACATGACAATTTGTGCGCAGAAAACAGCGGAATTTACACGATTTAAATAAATGGTTGAACTCCGTGATTCAATATTATAATACGTATATTACATATAATTTTGTAATTAATAGCACTGTCGTAACATTTTATTTTTTTTCTTATTCTTTTACTCAGCTCACACCACGGCAGTGTCACCGGACTATGATAGAGTTATAATAGGACGTATTTACCACGTAGGTACCTATACTACCGTCTACCATTCATGAAAATATTGAACATCTATCAGTGTTTATAATCAATGGAACAACGGGCTACAGCGATAACAGTCATCGGTATGTACTTGGAATAATAATTTACGATTTTTTTTTATTAATCTATTCGAACTGTTGTCAGAGTCGAACGCGTAACTGGATTTTTTTCATATCAAACTCGTTTTTCGAGATTACCCGCGAAAAGGATGCCAATGAGTCGTGGCGTGTTTTATTAAGTTGATCAAACACGACACGGCATAATATACGTATTAGCGTTGGATACAACCAACTGCGCCAGGCGAATGATTTACGATTGTCGGGGCGTAGGCGGTAGCAGTAACCGATTAGTAGTAAGACGACGCGACCGGGCCGCGATTCGTGACGCAGTTGTTGTTATGATACAGTTTCATCGTGTTGATAAGCGATAAGCCTCGACCCGACGTCGTCTGTGTACAATACCGTCGTAACAATATTAGGTAGGAACATTGTGGACGAGCAGACGGCACAGCAGCGCACATCGGACGGTCTGTTTGTTTTTATTGTACGCTGTGCCGAGTAAACACTGAAGTCTCGCATTGCGATAAGACGACGACCGAGCTTAGAGGTTTCGTATAAAAGGCATTTGACGAAGATGAGATCTCGTCTAAAACCGTAGTACGATCCACCGTCACTGAGTTTCGCCCGTCCGTTCGACCGAAAAATCGCGAAATCGGTTAGACTTCATCACCACGCACGTACGTCGCCGCGTTTCGTCGTACACAAATACAGACGAACGCCTAAAATCGCAAACTATCATATCGCCGTTATTTTCCGAAGCCGTTTAGCAATGGCCGGAAATCCGTGGTTTATCGTCGCGTACGTCTGTCTAACGTCGGCGGCGATCTGCTGCTCATTGTCGTTGTCGTCGCCACCGCCCAAAGTACGCGTCGAGTCCGGCGAACTTTCCGGTGGCGTAGACCACACGACCATCACCGGCCGACCGATTTACGCTTTCCTAGGCGTACCGTACGCCAGTCCGCCAGTCTACAAAAACCGTTTCAAGGTGAGTGTGTGACGACCGCCAGTGACTTTGTCATTATCTTTATGATGTTAAAATATATTCTAAGCTAACCGTAAATAACTACGCTTAACATTAAAAATTGAAATATAAAAAATAGTACTTTATTAGGTATATTTATAGATATTGTGTATCGATAACATTTCTATCGTGCCCGTTATCGCCAGCTATTACGGGTGAGTGGTTGGGATTGATAGAAACATGTGTAATGGGTATTAGGAACCTAAAACTCCGTCCTTAAACGATCCACCTTATTATTCAATATGAACCAAAATTATGGTATACCATATGCTTATAATTAAGTATAGTTTTAATATTCAAAATTTGGGTTTTGAAAAATTCTCTTGAGATACTAGTACGTATAATACCGTGAATATTATCGATCGACAAACAATGATGAAACAATTCGTGTGAATGTCTATGTTATGCAACTAATTGATTCTTGTATTTATATTAATGACCAAGATCCAAGTTTCACATTGTAGAAAACAAATCACTTGGTGGCTTTTCGTAATTTTCAACTGCCATCATTCACATTATCTGAAATATCAAATAGGTACCTACTACTCATAATGTTAGTATAAAAAACCAAAAAAAATGTAATATAATGGTAAGGTATATTAATAATTAATATTTTTTTAATATTATAGGAACCACAACCAGTAAAACCATGGGTGGGCGTGTGGAACGCTACAATACCCGGCAGTTCATGTATAGGACTAGACCATGGAAAATTTGAAGTAGTCGGAAGTGAAGATTGCCTATACCTCAATGTTTATACTCCAAAAGTGAGTAAATATAATATTTCAATAACAATTTGAAATGTAAATTGTCTTTTTTCATACTAACGACTACATCAATTACAATTGTTCTTAATAAATATACAGATTGTAGGATATAGTCACGTAACAATTTATATGGTTCAGTATTATGTGCCACGCCTAAAGGCTTAGCTATTACTTAAAATGTCTAAGTAACGTATATAAATTACACGACTTTAACCTAATCCATTACACGTAAAACTTAATATTTTATAAAATATATTATAAAGTATAAAATTATCAATATGATAAAAATAATACTAATGAACTATTAGGACTACGCACCTCATTTTCCTATAATATAAGACTTATATGATCATTTGTTAGCATCTATTTACTACATGACAAACACTCAAAACAGTAATAAACAATTCAATGAGTCATGATTTGCTATAAAAACAAGTTTAATTAATAAGATTATTACGAATGAACAAACAAACGATAAAAATATCTAACTCTGTGGTAAATACGTATTTTATACAAAAATTTGAATATGTGTATGTAGTTTATGTGATGTATCTTACGTAGCTACCCCAAGAAGGGCTGATATCCGGTGGCCTGATGAATGTGATCGTGTACATCCACGGTGGAGCATTCCAGTTTGGTTCAGGCTTCGGCTACGGGCCCCACTACCTTTTGGACAACGAAGATTTCGTTTACGTATCGATCAACTACCGACTAGGACCTTTGGGATTCGCGAGTACCGGCGATGACGTATTGCCAGGAAACAACGGCCTCAAGGATCAGGTGGCCGCCCTTAAATGGATCCAGCGCAACATCGCCGCATTCGGTGGCAACCCCGGTTCAGTGACTATCGCTGGCATGTCAGCCGGCGGAGCTAGTGTCCATTACCACGTCCTGTCACCCATGTCGCAAGGTAAGTCGTATGAAATATATTATATATTTTATTATGTTACATTAATTCTCAAAGATAGTAAATTATTGTGGTTTTGGAGAGATAAAAATTGTTTATATACCTACCAACTGTTTGAAGAACTTACTACTACGTTCAAAGTACACCCAAGTGCACAATAACAACACTAAGTATTTTAAGACAGGATCCCCCAGGTTCTAGATCAATTGAAAATTAATTTCATTCATCTTTAAAGTTACAATTTTCTTGTTTAATATGTGCGGTAATATTTAGCATATTACGATGTAATATACCTTAATTATCTTAAAAATAAAAATATATTATATAAACTTATACATATTATATAATATTATGTATATTTGTGTGTATACGCAGAGATTAGCGTTAAACATTAATCTTTGCTATAAGTTTCATAAATAAACGTATATAAGTGATAAATATCAAAAAAATGAAAACATACACATAATAAAAATATATCACATCTGTTTAATCCAGAGGTATCTTGTTATAATCCATTTTAATCTGATTAGTAATCAGGTATAATAAAAAATGTGTCAACAGATTTCTGAAAAATTATAAAGTTAGAAGAAAATTAAAACAATAAATAAATAGACGTAATGAGATACAAATGTTTGAATTATATGAGTCTTTTTTCTAATTAAATTTTTATTATTTTTGTTTTTATTCTTCAACTCACCTACCAAAAGGTTAAATAATGACTAAGAAAAACAGTCATCAAATATTTTACAATGAATTAGCTTAACTCCTTTTGATTGCCATAAATAGACATTAGGGTGTTACTATTACAGTGATATACGCATTTGTTTTCGGAATCAATTTCCGCTGTTTGACTCTCTGTTTTTTTTAATCTATAGACAGAATGGATTTTTTTTTTAAATTATTATATTACTTTTAAATTTTGGTATTTGGACTTTGAATTCCATACATCATGCATAACATATCGATCGTTCTCTTTCGTTTTTGTTCTCATCCAATCGACTAATACCATCCCCATTGAAAATGAGTTGTAGGTATCTATGCCAGATAGTATATATAATTTTTAGATTTCCGTATTTTTTAAAAATTCAATGATCATTCTACACGTTTATTTTAAACATATGATTAGTATTTTTGTATAAAATGAACGCATTCCTTTACAAAAAAAATATAGAAATTACCGTTCTTACAGCGTTTGGTTCATTTAAAATATAATAATACAATACCTTTGACTTTTGACTTTTGGTGGGACAAGCGAATAGCGAAATAATTTTATTCAGTCAATACCTATTTACAACTTTTTGTATGGCGTGTTAACATTTATATACAATTAAAATCTATCAATATAATTATAATTTATACATACAGGTTTATTTAATCGAGGAATTGCTGAAAGTGGAAGTGCTTTTTGTGGCTGGGCTAATACAGAAAAAACTATTCAAAAGACTAAGGAATTAGCAGAGTTACTGGGATGTCCTACATACTACTCAAAGGACACCGTTAAATGTCTTAGATCAAGACCAGCATTAGCTATTACAAACGCTTTGAAAAATTTCTTAGTAAAAATATTTTTGTATAAAAATACTTATGCAGTCTTGTAAAATTTTTACTATAAATATTATTATATTGTTATGTATTTCAATATTCGTTAGCCGTGGAAGTACAATCCTTTTTCACCATTTGGACCAACTGTTGAAACAATCGGAACAGAACGATTTTTAACAGACTTACCTGAAAACTTACCGGCTCAAGATATCCCACTGTTATTGAGCTTTACTCAAGACGATGGCCTCTATCCAGCCGCTGAATTGATAACACTCGAAGAAACTCTGGTCGATATAGAATCCAACTGGAACGAAATACTACCATTCGTACTAGACTACAATAACACAATATCAGATGAGTCTCTAAGATCTGAAATCGCCCAAAAAATAAAAACATTTTATTTTGGAAATAATACAGTGTCTGCAAACACCAAAAATGAATTCGTTGAAGTAAGATAATATTAGCATTTTAAGTTCATAGCATATACAATATAATAATTTAAATATTTCAGAATAATTTATATTAATCTTAACTATTATTAAACAAATATATTTTACAGGTCATAGGTGTAATATTCATTAATCCCAAATAACCAAACTACGAAAATAAATTGTTAAAATACAAATGTATGGTAAAAAATCTCAATCATAAAATTGTTAAATCCGAAATTAAATTATATTTTTATAGGATTATATCGTACTAAAAAAAATATTAATATTATAAAAAATCGTAAATGTGTATAAATTCTAGAACTAGAGTTCCATATGAGAATAACATATTTATTTTATCTATTTCACAATTGCATAAATACATCAAAATAATGTGATATAATTATTTTATTTTATTAATATAAATAATAAAGCTTATAAAAAAAAATGAGTAGATGCTTCAGCCTCTCCGAATAAGTTTATTTAGAAGCTTATGATACATTTGAGACTTAAAATTAAGTTACTTAAAATTAATATTAAAACATGATTTTTATGTGAAAATCAAAAATATTTTATTAATAATTCACGAGATTTGTCCATTTTAGATGCTTTCAGACAGATTATTCAAAGAACCGGTGGCTAGAGCAGCCAGGCATTTGGCTTCAATAAATACATCGCCAGTATACTTTTATGAATTTAGTTATAGGGGTAAATACTCACTTTCAGACAAATATTCCAAAACTGGACCTTGTCAAGAATTAGGTAAACAAGATCTAATTGGTTAAGATAAAATCTGCCTATGTTACCCAAGTATTAAAATTGATTTATTATAGGAGTATCACACGGTGACGATACAATGTACGTTATAAAAACCGGATACGGAAATCCACACGACAACGTTGAAGACGCAAAATTAATTCCAGTTATGGTGAATATGTGGTCGTCATTCGCTAAAACTGGGTACGTTTATTATTTGTATTAAATACTTATCCATGATTATTTTATTATCACAATCCTTATAGGTAGATAAAAATATCTTGCATGACCCACAGTCATTCAGTTAATTTTTCATAGGTTTTTCTTTTCTTTTTGTCGGGACTAATAAATCATCATTAAACTAGCAATTCAAAATATATTTCTAAAATATTAAATACCTGACTTTGATGTTTTTGCAACCACGTAAAAACATGCTTCCACGAATAAACAGTTATTCGCATTTGGGCCAGTTTCAAAGTAATTTTGAAAATACCGGTTACTGACGCTGTAGTGTTCAAAGTGACCAAGTTAGATACAATTAAAGAACCCGAATATAAAGTTTTACTAAAAAAAATGATTTTAACTTAAATTGTATTACCAACAATCTATAAATAATTTTATAACAAACGTGTATGAAGATTTATAATATGTTTAATGTTTATATTGGCTTGATTGACATGATGAAACAATCACCCAGCGGTAAAAGTGTAAAACTTACTTAACTAAAATTACACATTTGTACATACGAGTACAAACTATATCTACACGGCTACCTACATATTGTGTTTCAGAATTCCGGATGTAGGAAACTCTACAATATGGTCACCGGTGTCGAAAAATCCTTCAGATCCATTAAAATTGATTAAGATCACGCAGAACCAAACATTAGAACCGCAAGAGTACTCAAATCCCGGAAACCATACATTCTGGAGCACGTTGCCGCTAACCGAGTTTCAAGGCGTTAATCTGCCAGAAAAAATTAGTCACACCGAATTATAAGACAATCAGAACAAAATATTTTCTTAAAGTAGTAATATTATATGATTTTACAGCTTTTATGTTTTATAATTATATAGGTTTACATACCTACACTAAAAATTAAGTACCTAGATACTATAAGTACATTATTGTAATTTTTTTGAATAGAAAACTAAATCAAAATGAAAAGAAAAACTAATTATATTTGTATGTTAAATTAAATGTATAAAAACTCAAAACAATTCGTTTTTTTTTAAATTTATTTATTTATTTATTGAAACTTCAAAACAATCGACGTGACGCCAAAAGCGCCGCTTTTGTAATACTTTCACGAAATTTTCAACGTTATTATGCAATATATATATACAGTGTATTCACGCTAAGAGGTACTACAAAATATTTAATAGTTGGATAACCTTGTATTTAAATAAGGTTTTCGGGAAACGAAAAGAAGTACCAAAATACACTATTTCAGATGGGCGTCGTTTATAACCGCATACTTTTATATCTTAATCCCGCATATTTTCCTCAAATTAAACCGTTCAATACCGCACACATTACACATATATACATACATTTATCAATAACATAAACATTTATCTAAAATAACATCACAAGATCACAAAATCTGAAACCAAATTTAGATTCATACGAAACGACAACGTAAACCGTACACGTAAAGTATGTAGAGAAAAAAATAAATATTTTAAATTTATATAATCGTTTCATGACTAAGGAAATAAATTTAATTGATTATTTAAAAACATTAAGGTGTAAATTTATTTCAATTTAATTATGTATAAAATTATTTTTAATTTATACTTAATTTTTTTTTTTAATTATTTTTTTTTTTTTTTTACAATTAAATATACTTGATTTTTAACTGCCAATCAAATGTGTACAGTTTTGAACTATCAACCTTTCAAATTTACCTTTTTGAATAAATATGTGCGGTATTGAATGGTGTAAAATGTGTGGTTATGAACGGTAAGTGTGCGGTACCTAATGACGACCACCGTTTCAGATAAATTTTAATTTTTTGACCCTGGTGGTACCCGCATGGGCAATACAGCTTACTTTCTTTGAAATGGCAATACCATTTTTTTTCTACAGATTCGCTCAAAGTATTTTTTTTAAAAATTTTTGTATAAAGTATTTTATAACTAAAAAATTGGAAAAATTATAGTAGGTATGTTGAAATTTAAATTTACAAATAATCTATTTTTAATGAAATATTGACAAAATTAAATTTAATATTACTTGAAAATCGAAATAATATTTCCAATATTAAAAATATATCTGTTAGAAGACAGGTAAAATATAAATAAACACTTTTTTTATCATAATTTATTCTCATTTTCGCCATTCATTCTTCTAAAATAGTGAAATAAAATAGCTATTGAAGGTAATGAAATTTATAAAAATGTATACACCATGAATTTGAAATCAAGATTTATTTATTTTAAATACAGTTTTATCTAACAAATTGTTCAAAATTTCCACCTTGATGTTCTAAAAATAATTCTTAACGTTTTAAAAATTCCCTTTACGCACGCGCGTACCGACAGGGTTAAAAAATTGAAATTTATCTAAAATTATGTATTTTGGTACTCCCTTTTATTCCCGAAAACCCTATTTCAATACAAGGTCATATACAACTGAAATATTTCGTGGTATCTCTTAACGTGAACAGACTGTATATATATACACATGCATTAATAAAAGTAATTTTTATTAAATGACATGCATAGAGGAGAGAAAATTGGACAAGGGTCTTTAAACTATCTTAGAACTTCCTGTATATATATATATATATATCGATATAACACCTAATATACCATCAGATAGTATGATAACTGTCGATAAGCCAAAGTGCAACACATAATTTACCGTCATGAGTGACTGCGCTTGTTCTTCCGCCCTGTACTAGTACGATCGGTATCTGCCATTCCAAATTTCACCGGTTAGATACACTTCGCTATGCTACATATTACGTAATACCTACATAAATATTTGGGTGGTAAAAGGAATATTTTCACTAAAAGGAAGGAGTCAAACCTTTCTCTTTAAGAAAACGTTTTGAGTGCCTCCTGTTTTTTTATTTTTACCTTTATATCACAACTTGAGTGCATATCCATAGTCTTAGTAGAAAATCATAATAATCATATTGAATAGCCCAAATGCATCCTTCGATCTGCAGCCAAAACTTTTAAGATACAGAACCAATGATAATGCAAATGTACAATATTATATACGTAATTTTTAACAACGACGAGTGTGGAAACGATGAGGAAACCACATTTCACTATAAATTTGATAATAATAAAGCACAATTACGACTATCTAGTACGACTCAATGATCATTTAGGTCAATAAGTGTGAGTAGTAATCTAATACCCAAAATTGTGTCACAATAAACAAGTAGTTACGCGTGTTTTTAATTTTTAACATTTTTAAAATCTTTAAAATTTATTATCAATACTAAATAAAAATGTTGTAAAAAATAAGTACACTCGCCCAAACCTAAAATGTGTAAAAATATGGGTGTAAGTCAAAAGTATTAATAAAATAAATAATAATAACCATCTCGTGAAGCATCCAACAGAATAATTTATACGAACTGGAATTAATTCAGGATAGGTACGTCAAAAATATGTTTTTTTTTTCACGGAAATCACTGAGGTAATACCTAATTCCAGTTGCAACCGGAAAACTCCCTCTTTTCCACCAATACTCGTCTTTACCAAATGAAATATTGGCCACGTTTCGACCAAAACTAATCAATTTTCCAAAGTTTTATGATAAACAATGTTTTTTGGATGTTAATAATAGAATGTATGCATAATTAGTAATTATACATTTTTAGGCGTGTCTATCAACGTACCCTCGGTTTCAGCATTTAATTCACAAATTATTACCATTAACTTTTTTTCTGTTTAAAGTTGACATCTATGATACTCATAGCTTTTTGCTCTCCTTACAGTTATTTATCTTCTTTAAATTTCACTGAAACTAATATTTATTACCGCCATTAGTATCTTAATTCCACCATTAACCAAAATGTTCATAATTTGTTGCTCACGTCTCATAGCTTCTTTGAGTTTTAGAGTTTTAGTATTAAGTACATTTTAAAAATCATTTATACCACACACTGTTATTAAAAATAGTATGAACATTTTTATAGAAGTTCTCGTGTCTACTTCTTTCGTCACTTAAATTATTTTTTAAGAGGGTTCGACATTTTTTTTAAAACCTCTCTGAGATCATTTCAAAAATCCAAAATTATGATTTTTTACCACTCCATTTAAATTCCGTTACTATTTTTTTAATGATCACATTATTATTTCGCATTTCTGTCAAAATAATATCATCATTCATCAACTATTTTATTTTGTAACGAATTAACACCAACATCTGAATTTACATGCACTACCTGTAGCCTGTAGGTACATTAAATTTGTGTACGACCCACTTAAATATGTTTATATATAAAAACTCATTATCGTCGAACAGGTCATAGTTTGCAATGTTTGCATTATAGATAGTAAATACTAACAAAATAAAACAAAACAATTAAAACAGCACTAATTCACGGTCTGCGAGAGCCAAACATACCTACATAACATAGCCGAATATATTGCTTGTTTGATGAGCAAGATGTAACAAAAACTATACATAAGCGTTTAAAGTTTAAATTTAGAAGAAATAAGATATTTAAATTTTTAAATTTTTAACGAAAAATATCAATTTTAATTGTTTATTTGTAATTTAAAAATATTATTCGTGAATACTAGTTACTAGAAACTCTAAGCATATAGGTATCCATTATTCTATATGCCAACGTTTCTTAAACTGTTACGTAGAGATCACTTTATGGATCCACGAAACTAAAGTAATTTTTTTCAAAATTTTTAAGAATATTACTCTTATTTCGTTACAATTTAGATTTAGTCTAATTAATATAATTTTATATAAGTATTATTATAAACAAATATTAACAATTTTATTTTTATTTTAACATATTTTTAGAATTCAATACCTTTAACACCCTATTATTGCATGAAATAATTATAATTTTTATTGTAAATAATCCTAAAATAAAAGCTAAAAAGCTAAAAAAAAAAAAATAGAAAGAAATGCTGATATATGCAATTATTTTTTTCAATTCACTGTTTTCAACAAAAATTAATTCATATTCTGTAATAGGTATTATTAATTAAATAAATTACTATAAATATATCATAAAATATACTTAATTATATAAGCTCCGGCCTCCAAAACCATCTTCATTCAAAATTATTCTTTGCATCACTGAATTCAAATTTAATATATTCATGATCCATTACAATAACTTACTCCAATGGCAGGATACGCTCAACACCTACAGTATAGTTGGTGGTTACATGGTTTATCCATTTCTTAATACAAGATAAAGTAAATTAAACTACCTATTGTCAAACTTTGAGGAAACACAATCATAGGACCCACTTAGACCTTTTATAAAAATTTTATTTTGAAGTTAATAGCATTCCAAATGTACAAATAATTTACAATTTTATTTAAAATTAAACACCTAAAATAGCTTGTAGATAGGCATCTGTTTTTAATGTCAAATGTCAATAAATACCCTAAAAAGAAGTAAATTACATTTATTTTGTTATTAAATATTTACTAATTATACTTATACAAATCACTTCCAAAATTATAATGTTAAATCTGCACCAAATGTATTTATATCTTGATAAGATCAATGTCAATTAAAATAAATATTTCATAAACTAAAAATACCCAGTTTATTTATTTTACTTAGTTATATTTTTTAACAAATACAGAATTGAATTAACATAACAAATTTTGACTTTGTAATATTATCAATTAACTTAAATCTAAATTGAAATTTAGACCATAAAAACTTGGTACATTTTTTTATCTATTTAATTTATCAAAAATAATGTAACAATTGCCTTCACCACTACAAATTTTACAATCATAGTTTTATCAGCAATTGACGATTATTATCACAGATTATTCTGTATTAATATTTATTATATTGATCCATATAAATAATTAGTAATTTATAAATCATGTAATAGAGAAATTGACCGGTTGAAAGCCCACTCTTGAGCCCCAACATTATAGTAAAACTAGTAAATAATCAAAATATTAGATATCACTGAATATAAAACCTAATTTTTAAAACATATTTTCAACCACTCCAATATTATGTAATAACATATTATATATTTCAGCGCCAAACAATCACACCACACTTGAGTCATAAATAATACAATAAATTATTTTATAAATAATAGATCTTAAACAGTATACAAAAAAATATTATGTACTTACTATAATCTGCATGGACATTTAAATATACTATTTTATTAATTTTAAATACTATAACACCAAAATGCTCATCTTTAATTATATTATGATTTATTGTGTTATATATAAAGAATAATATATTTGTAAATAAATAAATTTTAAAAAGAGCAAACAAAATGTAATTAATATGAAATGATTTTTTTTTTTTTGCACACATATACACATATATGCAAAAGTAAATAATTAATAAACAAAACATTAGAGGTAGGTAAGTACTAGTTTTCTCCTTAGTACATCAAATCTAGCTGTCTTTTCCACAGTAGAGATATTTTTTTAAAACACTTACACTAATTTGAAATATTGTGGTTTTCATAAATCATTAAACTTTAAATAATCAATACAATTCAAAAAAATATTAAAGTCAATAGCTTAACTTAGATAATTTCATTGTTGTAAAACAAATGGACTTGATTTCATAAAAAAGAAAATAACCACTTCACGTGTACCTCAAAAAATAATTAAATCTTCTCAACCAATAATGGTTATGATAAAAACAAAAAAATGAAAAATGCAATACTAAAATGAGTGACAAATGTCATGACAACCGACATGAAGTCATTTTTTTAACATTACACATGATTGGCTTGTGCCAAGGTCGTTTAGATGGATCATTGACATCATCGATGGTAACTGATGTACTCCCATTTGGTCGATCTGAATTATATATTAAATAATTAATAAAACTTTAATTTGATTATTTATATTTAAGAATATTACCTTTAATTAATTGTTCTGTTATATACTCTTCTTCATTTTCAGAAGGCGTTTCGCAAGAATGATAGTTGAATAAGTAAGGCAATACAGTCATGTTATGCATGAAATCACCACGCAAAGGAGGAAAAGGTACTTTTTCAGATGTTCTTGGATGTCTACAAACAAACCACCTAAACAATAAAAAAAACAAAAAAGAATGAATATGAAAATACTTAAATACATATTTATTTAGATAATGAAACAAGAAAAAATTCAATATTTTAATTTAATTAGATCCTAAGTTAATTTTTTAAATTAGCTATAATCCAGAGATCATTTACAACTCTAATATAATTATAAATAATTATAAATAATACTCAAGATAAAAATAATTATTTAAAATATACACATAAAAATTATACAAATTTGAAGCTTTCAATTCTAATATGATAAATATTATAAATATCAACTTATCAAAATAAACCGCTCACTGCCTAATAATAAAATGTTTAATTGATAGATGAAGAAATAATTATAAAATTAAGATCTTTAAGTATATAATTAAATTTTTAATTGTTTACTTAGTACATATGGTAATAATACTTTTTGAAAATCTTTAAATAGTCTTGATTAAGATTTGGAAACTTTGAAACTAAAAATACAAGCTCATTTATCTGTATCTGCATCAAGATACAAAGATTTAAAAGAATTTGTAGTGTATGTTGAGTTAGAACAGTAAGAGTTGGTTAAACATTGTCCTACTAGGTGGTTGTCAATTGTTTTAGCAATCCAAAAAATTCTTAAGTTCTATTCTCCTTTGATATTTTACTTTATATTCCTTTGTGATAAATGCCTTAAACAAATCGACTTTAACAAGTCATAAACCATAGAACATCTATTTAAAAAACCAAGTATATGCTTATGTATTTGTAATAATATAAATATGATGTTTGTTACTTCAAAAATCTGATATGAGTTAATTTTTATTATGAATCAGTTAAAATCTAATGTTTCAACTTGAATAAACAAACAATTTTACAGTTCCAATTTAATCATAATATAAGAGTAAATTAACAATACTTATCATAAATGAAATGAAAAATTAATTTGATTTGTTCTACAAAACATGCATTAAATAATTTATCAAGTCATTTCGATTATGAATCCTCGCCATTAAAAATATGGAGCCACTTTGTTTAAAATCAGATGTATAGCTTTATTAAGATATTGTGAAAATAATTAAAGTATGTGTTTAGTTGATGTGATTTCTATAGATAAGATATTTGAAGAATTTATGATTATCAAGCATGCTATATCTACTGTAAACTAAAAAAAAATTTAATAGTACAAAAAAAATAGCTAGAACTTTAACAAAAAAAAATTTAAAAATATTGGAATATTATGAGAATTTATTATAAGTACCTATACCAATGTTTAATTCCTTTGTGGAAGATTCTTCAGTAATGAAACTTAAATAGGTAGATATTCTATCAATTTGATAAAAATTGAATAATTATATCATTGAAAATACCACATTTTGAAAATAGTTCCTGTTCTGATTTTGTGAATTTAGTAAAAAAAATAATGATGCTGCTCTTTCGCACGCTGTGAAGAATCCAGGAAAATAATTTTAAATTTAAAATTAAAATTACTTAATGCCTAATTTTGAATTACTTTTTTCATTATAAATCATTTTATTACTTATTTATATAATTATATAATATAACCTAATATTTACTTGTTTTTTAGTACTCCTTTCATTATAATTTATAGGATACTTCACTTATTATTAACATTTATAAATAGTAGATATAAATATCTGTGCTATATCTAGTGATGGGCATAATCGAATGATTAGTAATCGAGAGAATCTCTCGAAAAATCACTTGAAATTAAAATCGTTTTTTCGTATGTTAAGAATAATCAACTATTATTACATATCGAGATAATCAAAAATCACTCGAAATATGAATAAACTTATAGTAAATAATTATTAGTTAAATGTTGCTTTTTTTATTTAGACTATATTTTAGGAATAATAATAAGTAGGTAATAACCATTATATAACCATAATAATGCATTATTAATAGGTGCTTTAAATAAATGACAAGTTTTTATTTAATAATTATTATTTAAATTTTAAATAAATCTGTTGGTTTAAAACACTGTAAATTCTTAATTATGAAGGTAATAAATACATAATATAATCATAAATATTAAATATGTACAACATTGAAAATTGTAATTTCATATATATTATATAAAACATTTTTCAGATTTAAAATATACCTACTAAATAATCAATTACCAGATAATAATTTAAAACATTTCAAAATTCGATTACGTTACTCATATCAGAAATTACTCGATTACTCAATTATTTTACTCATAATCAAAATTATTCGATTACTCGATTATGCCCATCACTAGTTATATCATTATTGTATGATTTTATTATTATAAAGTATGCACAAAATTATTATACTAAAATTAGAATACAATTTTTTCATATTGATAAAAAGTCATGATTTTTCAAATTTAACAATTGACAATTTTATTAGCTATGCATTAAAGGATCATATTATTTATTTGTTTATTTTAAAATAATCTATTCAGTATTTAAAACAGTTTTTAAACTTACGGATGTGTTTGTATTGTTCTTAAGGTAAATCGTTTCTTTGGATCTTTTTTAAGCATTCCAACTAGCAAAGATCTCAAAGGTTCTGTCACAAAGCTTGGAATTTGTATATTACACTTTCCAATTGCTTCAAATAATCTATATACATTATCACCTTCAAATGGATACTCTCCTGTAACTAAATTATATCTTAAAAAAAAAAAAAAAAAAAAAATATAATTTTGTTATTATTGTATAACATTTTTGTAATTGATTAATGATCATACAATGTGACACCACTGCTCCAAATATCTATTTTAAAGCCAGAGTACTCATCAGCTCCATTTGCTATTTCAGGCGGTTGAAATGCTGGTGAGCCTTGACTAGATGCACAAATACCTTCTGGATCAAATGGTGACAGTGCCTAAAAATTGTAATTAACAATATTTTAACATAGATAAACATTTTACAATTATATTTTCAACATACCTCAGCAGTTCCAAAGTCTGATATCTTAAGTGTTTCATCAAGTGTGAGCAATAAATTCCCTGGTTTGATATCTTTATGAATTATTCCACGGCTATGTAAATATTCTAATCCATTTATTAACTGACTAAAATAGCTAATACCACATAATATTAAACATAAATGTATATTCATAAATTCATAATACTACTTTTTACTTAATCAAATACATACTTGTGGGCTTGCCAGCATGGAAATTTACTTCCTGGAGAGTGTTCTAGCATATCTTGAAGACCACCAACACAATATTCTAAAAGAAGATACATTTTTTCTTTTTCTTCATTTACTATCACATCTACTAATTCTATGACATTTAAATGTCTCAGTGTTTTAAGAAGTTGAATTTCACTAAAAATTAACAATAATAACAAATTTTATTATTATGTAACTTAAAAGTTATAATTGAATATTTTACCAAATTTAACATAGGTATTTAAAATTTATTGAATAAATATTATCTTATAATACTTGATAATATTTAATATTAATAACATACTGTTATTATCAGCAATTCAAAAACAAAATTATACTAAAAAATAAATGTATGTTTCTAAAGAATAAACAATATTCAAGCTTAAAAAACAAAAGCGTAACCAATATTTTTTAGGGAGTTTTTTTAATTTTATAGTTATATATAAAGCAAGAAGGGCTTTACATACTCAATTGAAGTCATCAGTATTCATATTAAAAACATAAAATATGAAATAGAACTACACGACAACATATTTTATAGAAATCTGAATTAAACAGAGCATATATTTTTGTATAAATACAGCTGAAGGAAGATACTTCCCACCCAAAACACCCGCCTAGATAATTTACTATAAAATAATAACCATTTACTATAACAGTACTACCGAAGTATTAACTACCAAAAATGTATAACTACTACAATGATTAAAAAGGATAAAATATATCAATATCACTGATTACATTATTATGGGTAATATTTATTACTATTTTAATAACAAGTATTAACTTAAATAAATATAAAATAAATGAGATACAAAAAAATTTTAAAATGATAAATTAGCATATAATCATATAAAAAAAACCTAACAAGATAAAACATAATACAACAAATTTCCTAACTTTTTACTAGCTATAATAAATTAATTTACTAATCTCATTGATTCAGCAATTACTTAGCTAGATATAAAGAATTTTAGAAAATGTTTATGCTGTTTCCACTTAATAAACATACTTCATAGAAAATTATTGTAGAAAAAGAACCAATTTTATGTTGTTAGTTGTAGTATCAGATAAAGTTGACTTATTATAAAAATTAAGAACAATACCTATGTTTATTTGTAGCTTGTACATTGGATTAAAATTATAAGCAAATTATAATAGTTTTTAATTTGAAATATTTAACAAACTCTACACTCACTTAAAAATTGGAAAAAAACCAACATACTAACATCACTTATAATGTTCTTAACTTTAAGTATGATAATAGAGCAATTCAATTTTATAATATTGATACCTACACAAAATTAGTACTGCTGATAGCAAATTTTCTTTTATACGTTTATAGGACAATGCATGCAGGCGTGACTATGCTTAAGAAAATAAATGTGTAGATTATCTTTGCTTAAATATGCTTAAATAAGAGAAAAAGTGTAGGTACTTTAAAGATTATTAAAACTAATTATTAATATGTATAAAAAAATTATTTTATTACTTGAGCACATTTTTTTCTCCGTTAGGTATTCGTTTGAGTTTTTTCTTTTTTAATATTTTAGCTGCACAGCGAACAAGCGTTTCTGAATCGAGTACTTCTTTAACTTTACCATAACTACCTTCTCCTAATAAATCGCCCATTACATATTTTCCAACTGTCTTACATGGTTTCTTTTGGGCTCGATATACAACTTCATTTGGATCAAATGAATTGAAAATACCTGTGGACAAACAATCGTTTGCTGACCAATCGGCAGGTACATTTAACAGGTCTTTGAACACATCTTCGTCATCATCTACAGCACTTGGCATAACATCCTCGTCAAATTCTCCCTGTTCCATCATCATCATTACATCGTTTTCATTTAATATGCTACATATACCTATTTTAAAATTTCAGATTTTTTTTATCTTTTTGATATTTTTCGTATTCGACAAAAAAAAAACTGAATGATAATTCGATTTTATGATAATTTGTATAGTTTATAATTATGACAGTACGATCACAAATCAACAAATAATTCAAAAACGATTACAAATTACAATGTTTACAAATAAAAGTACCTGCATCACAAAATAATAAATAATATTAAATAATAAATATGAACACTCAGGAGTCAGTCTATACTAATGGTGAAATTTGTTTAATCACAGTAATCACACTGCTTACTACACTTAAGAAGTATTATACTATCGTCGATGCTGATAATGGTCCATTGTATTTATGTATAGTAAACAGTAATCATATGGTACTCACGGAGGTCGAAAAACTCAAAGACGTTCCAAAAAAAACTAGAATTATTATTATACCATAGAACGATATTTGTGCGTCGTATATATACGACGCACAAATGGTAGTAAATAGTTATGGTACAATGATGTCATTAATTCCTAATGGTGCCATATACATTATGCAATGCAATCCTTCCATCACATCATTTGTGTTTATCTTTTAATTTTTTTTTTTTTTTTCTTTATTAATAAATACACAATCTATACACAATCGGCACAATAAGAGTATGAGCTTTAGACAATGGAGATGAAATTTTGATTGAAGAAGCCACCCACCGATGACACTTACGACCTTTTAATTAAAAAAAAAAAATGTCTATGCTTGCAATTTTGTAATTTAATATATAAATTAATTTTATTAGAAAATATAGTTATATGAATTAGTTTTATCGACGTTTTAAATGCTTGTGTTGATTTGTAATTTTTTTTTTTTTTTTTGATATTTTGATCTAGATGCAAAAAATTCCTTTTAGTTTTTTATTTGATATAATATATTTATAACGCTGTTTTGTACTCTCAATATAAAAAAAAAAAATAGTAATAATAAAAATAATTTCGCTTTAATGTACAATACATTTCGAATTTTTTTAAAAATATGCAAAAATATACAATAGCCAATAACGGCAATAACCATTAACTGTGCAGAAATATGCAAAAAAAAAATTCACTATTAGATTTTAATTATGATCAATGAAAATAACTGACAAAAATCCAAAAAAGTTAAAAAAAAAAAATATGCGATTGCACAAAAATCCGTGCTTTATAGTTATTATCCTTATCACTCATCTATAAAAAAAAGCTAGAGGTGTTTGGTTTCATTAAAAGAGTAGCTGCTTAGTGCTTCGTTACATTTGTTTTAACTTTTAGGTCAAATCATTAAGAATACCTAAATAATATTGCTCTTTTATCTATTCTATTTTCGAATATGACTCACTTCTCAGTCATGAATCGCGAACGTTTGTCCCCCATCAAATATGCAGTCCACGGACATTTCGTCCCGGAGAGTTATTAGCCATAGGACGTTAAGTTCTCGGTATGCTTTGATAATCTAATTGTTTATATTTAATGTTTATATGACAATACTACAAAATATACAAATACATAATCAATATTCATATACAATATAATCTAATAGTCAAAATTTAAATAAATCATAATTATATCAAGTCAACACAAAATTTCGTATAAATTAATAAATTAAAATTAAATACTATAATATTAAGATATATATTAATTTTAGATCAACTTACTGACTTACATTTTTTAAATAGTTAAATAGTATAAGATATCTTTATTACTTACTTACCTATAGCCTATATATCTACTATTTTAGACATTACAGAATTGTTCATTAAAAATAAATGTATTAATTGCTAGTCAAATAATGAACTTTGAAGAAATCAATAAATAATAATGCTTTAAAAAAACCTGAAAACCAAATGATCCAAATGTCTTATTATCAAAGTATACCAGGGACCAAACGTCCTATGGCTAATAACTCTTCAGAATGAAATGTCTTATTTTAGTAATTACTGGAGGAAAAACGTCCATAGACTGGTTTTTTGACGGGAACGATATGTCAGTAATTTAGTTATAGACGTTATAGTAATATAGTGTATAATAATGTGGGACCTATACGTTAAAGACGATATCCGTAGATTATAGCGAAATTTTTTTTTAGCATTGTCAAGTTTATTTTAGCATTAGGTAACCACTAACCATAGTTTAATAGTTATACTCTAATAATTAATCTTTTCGTCTTCAAATCCCTGGTTGATCGTAGAACACGAGCTAATAATCTATATTATCTCAGAAACTTGTAATAAATAACTCTATGTTGACTCCCAAACTTCTTGCAGAAGTTAATTTTCATGTCCCAACTTGACTTAATGGTAATGTTGTAATTTGTAAGCGATCAACCAAATTTTTTATGATCTGTGATGGAAATCTGTACATTTAACAAAGGATTTAATGTTCAATACATTTTTAAACGACATAACAGCAACTTTTATAAAAAATATATGTAAAAATATTTTTTTATTGAACCACCTAATAATAATAATTTTCGGTATAACAAGTAACAACCTTGTTTCTAATACATTTTCATAAATATTTTACGTAACACAATTTTTTATGAATTAATAATCAATTAAGTTTACTTTAGAAATTTTAATAAGGTAAGAATTTGTTTTTAGTTAGGGAAGATCACTAACTAGATCACGAATAATAAGTCGTGAAAAAATTATGGTAGCTCGCTGATTTGACCGTTTTTCGTTACCGTCTTAATTTACGATTTGAACAGAACTGGATTGACTGGAATAAAATCAAAATATATAGTATTAGAATATTAGATGAATCCCAAATTTTTCATTTGCTTTCATTTTTTTTATTAAATAATTAAGCAAAATGGTTGCGATTTTAAAATTGTAATTAGAACGGACTTGAGATTTAAGTCGGAAATAAAAACTTGTAATGTTGTCTTTTAATCTTTTTAACTATAAAGTATGCATATTGCGTGTGTAACAACCCCATAACCATATCACTAATATCCCTCACCATGAACTTATTATTTCTCACAAAATTACTCGATTATTTATATAAGATTTTGTATTTTATTTTACTAATTATTAATATCGTCTCCACTCAGGCACGTATAAATAATTTCTTTGAAAATTAAGTAAAGTTATACACCTATCATTATAATATATTTTTATTACTAACTATTGGTTAGTTTTCTTTTGTTTATATTAGTCGGGTATGAAATACAAGTTTATAATCTACATAGTATTATAGTCAAATGAAGTGATAACTGATTACTGAGAATTACGCCATGTGTGAGAACTGAACATTGCGATAAAGCCTTATATACCTAGAAAACTCACATTTTGTCAATAATCTTTTTTTATATCTCAATCGATGACCAAAAATTCCTATTAAATTGCTAATTTATGTATTATTAAATCAGTACTGTAAGGTACATTTTGGCCACATTATCAGTTACAACTGTTACTGCGAACGTTCATTCTCAACTCTACGAAGACTTAAAACGTACTTATGAAACAATATAAGAGAAATTAGACTTACTGGATTGGCACTACTAAACATATACCGAAATTTTGATTTAAATGTGGTAGAAATTATCGATAGGTTTGCTAAGTTACCACGAAAATGGGATTTTATACTTTAATTTGTAATTTTTTAATGTATTATACATAAATTGTTTGATTTTTTTCTTCTATCTAGGTACTTAATAGTATAATATACTTAGGTAATTTTATGTGCATAGGTACTAATAAAATAAATGTCTGTTCTGTTCATAACATTTAAAATTTTATTTATTATTATTATAATTGTTCTTATAAACTTACTTCTGAACAAATGACATACATAAAATTTGGATACTTAACATAATAATTGTCATATTAAAAAATAATGAGTAACAAGGAATACATTGTTTTATTATGTTGCGGTACAATTTGTATCACTATATTTTGTAAACCCCCTCCCCCCAAAAATTGTATTTTGTATACATGCCTGTCTCCACTAATTATGACTTCACTTAGTTACTTAACTGATGTCATGTTAAGGAGAAATAGTAAAAATAATATCCATACAAAATTGGGTACTTGTGTAGTATGCTATCTAGTACCTACCATAAAATGTTATCTACCAAAAACCGTGTATTCTACTTACTAATTAATCACATTTTTTTAAACTTAATGTATTGCTGATAATCATCATTGCCAAATACATAGTTATAAGTCATATTTTATTTTTCAGTCATCTCAAAATGTATTAACGGACTACCGCCATCTCTTATTTAATTGGCGATCAAATAAATCTGTTAATTCTTATTTTAGTTCTTACATATCTCCTCTCTCCTATACAAACGGGCATCATTATTGAATGTACATTAGTTGTGAAAACAACAAAAACTCATAATAATCCACTGTTTTGTGATAAGTTATATATCTATCAAGTATATACTATATGCTCACCATTCATCAGAGTAAATGGTTTTCTCTAATTTTATTTAATTCTATATTATCACTTATAAATATAAAGTGTGAAGTAGCCTACACAAGTGCTCAAAATAGTCATAATTATATCTTCTCAAATTGTTTCAAACGACATTTAGATGAATCCATCGAGTTAAAACAATTTTTTAGTTACTAGTGTAATACATGGTAATATTTTAATTCACAAAAAATATATATTACTTTCTTCATATGAAATATACATTAAAAAATTAAATAAGAAATACATTTTGTAAAATATTCAACTAAAAAAAACATTTATTTAGAATAAAAATGACAAAACAAGATTAAAATATAAATTATTAAGTAGGTAATCACAAAGTTAAAATTTTTTTTTTGTAAAATCATAAATCACATATATCTTTATTACTGCAGAGATTAAAATAAGAAAATATAGTCTACTTTATAACATATGTTCTTGTAGGTTTAACTGTTTTATATGAAAGTATAAATTAATAATTATCATTTTTATTACAATACATAGATTACTCAATTCACTGAAAAATATTTTATTACTATTTTTAATTATTTCAATAATAATAAAATATTTAATTAAGTTATAACTATACAGATATATATAATATGAATAATTTATATTTTATAC